TATATATATATATAATATATGAGGTTCTCTCTGATATTCTTGTCTGCTTATCTCTTTGCTTATTTTTGTTTTAATTATTTAAGTTTCAGAGTATTATGTTGAACCCATATGAACTGGCCACCTTAGGACTATCAACAGTAGCATAAACTTTTTAATGAACATTTCAGACACACACAAAAGTAGAGAGAATATTATACTGAACCTCTATGAACCTGTCGCCCAGCTTCAGCATTATCAACATTTTGCCAATCTTATTTCATCTTTTCCCACTTCTAAATTTTGCTGCGATAGTAAATGATAAGTCATGTTAACACCTGTATAATTTTAACAAGCTGTACCAATCAGTGGTTTTTAATATATGCACAGAGTTCTTACTGTACCCTCCATTTATAGAAATTGTTCTTTGAACCGACCTCATGAGTCTTTCTAGAAAAGCATCAATATCAACGCTACTTACATGCCCACATGTGTCACTGGTTAAAAAACTGATCAGGCATATAACCAACTCAAGGGGAATTCCTGTGACTCTGGTAGGAAATCTTGATTCTGAGGATAAATCAGTATTGAAATTCCTATGGCATCTCAAAAATGAACAATGGAAAGGATTTTTCGGGTCCTGAAGTTGAGTCACTTAGGAGTTAAGGTTTTTAAGACAGCTGTACCAATCTCCAGGTTTTCTTCCTAACAGGAGTATTTGGAACATAGTTTTTAAATCTAGGTGTCCTGTGATTCTGAGCTGTCACTGATAGAAAGATCCAAGCCAAAGTGGTAGAGCCTAAGTGGTTGGGACTAAGCAGAGCTTGTGGGTACTATTGGCAAACCTGAGAGATGCGTAGAGAAAGAGGGAAAACATACAGATAGATAAGAGAAGAAAAAGAAACAATAAAGAGAAAGGCAAATTGTGTCCTATATTGAAAAGGAAACTAATGACTCAGAAATCATAGCTTTCTAAACCCTACATTAAAATATGCAGTTAACCCTGCTGCCTACTCCTTTTCAGAATTATAGCATTCAGCCGGCCTGTGAGATATGAGGATGTGGAACACAAGGTGACAACAGTGTTTGGGCAGCCTCTTGATCTACATTACATGAACAATGAGGTAAGAAAGTAGATAGATGGTGTGGGGACAACTGCATACCTTTTTTCTCTCATCCTAACAGGATTTCCTGGTTAGTTTCTCTAATATCATTATGTTTTTGCTTTCTGGAGCCTTTTTTCTTAATTCCAATAACTCTGGGATTTCTTTTTTGTTTTGCTTTGTTTTGTTTTTACTACATGGGAGATTGCATAGCTATTTTCATTTCCCGCTCTTTCAGTGCTGGTAGCTCTAATACTCCATGGTGGAATCGGCTATGGTATCAGGGCCAGGGCTGGCTTATATTGTCAGCTTTACATTTTGTAGGTTATCTTTTCTTTTCCAGCACAGTATTAACATGGAGTAGAGGGTTTATCAGGGATTAGGGAGGTGGGGAAAACCGGTGAGTGGAACCCCTACTGACAGTCATAGTCCCTGGACTCTTCTGAGTTTGAGTCCTGATTGCGCTTGTTTCAAGTTGGTGCCGCCACACGACTTCTTGGACTGTTCATCCTCCCTGCTCCCTGCCCGGCCTTACTTGTTCCTGCTGTGACTGCCGCCCGGGGAGGAATTCTTTTTCTTCTTAATTTTTATTCATTGGTTTTTAGAGAGAGAGAAAGGGAAACACTCTCATATGTGCCCTGACCGGGGATCAAACCCACAACCTTGGTGTCTTGCGATGACTCTCTAACCAACCGAGCTACCCTGCCAGGGCAGGAAGGAATTCTTTTGAACGGCAGTTACTTGGTTGCTTTCCCAGCTACAAGAAAGGTACTGGAGGCTGCAGTCTGCTCAGGCTGGTGCGTTGCATTAGTCTGAAAGGTAGTGTGTTTGTGCCTAGTAAAGAGCGTGTATCTAGAGCAGCGATTTTCAACCTTTTTCATCTCAGGGCAACCGTTAACTAGTTATAAAATGCTACAGCACACCAAAAAATCTATTTTTTGCCGATCTCACAGAAAAACTGGTATAATTTTGATTCATTCACACTGGATGACTGTTGTTGTGTTGGCTCTTGTTATTTTTTTATTTGACAATCTTAAGGGAAAAGAGGTCAGTGCCCCTCACTAAATAGTCAGGTGTTGCATGTTTTAAAAATCCTTGTGGCACACCAGTTGAAAATCGCTGGTCTAAAGGGAACTGAGTTGAGGGACAAGACAGGAAAGCTGGGCAACACCCTGGCTCTTTGAGAGTCGGGTCCTTTCTTTGTAGTTTTATTTTATTGGTTGAAGAGTTAAGAATTTCTTCTATAGTTTAGGGCTTAAATCTGTAGGGGCTGAGATTTGTTGGCCCAAAACTCCCTGATCCCTTCATATAAAATGTACAATACAATTGGATATACTGCCAAATAGCTAACAAAAATAAGACCGTTTGATCTTTTGTTTTTTTGGATAAATTTTAGAAATAAAGCAAATTTGGAAAATAAACCACTAACTCTAATAAATAATACAGATGTAAGTATTTTAAAGTATGTAAACTAACACATTTTAAATACAGAATATGAGCACCCCAAAAATATAAATGTCAAATCCATAGAACTTTAAAAACTTGCAGTTTAAGGTTCAGTAGTTTACATAAGGAAGTGAGGCTAAAGTCAACTAGCTTATCAGCATTAAAGAAGGTGTTCTTTAGTTAGTAAAGACTGTTTTGGATGATTTAGTACTCATTTCTCTTTCTGTTAATATTTCCATTAAGAATTCCAGATGTCCCAAAATCCATTTGAAACTCTTGCCAACAAAGTCACTGCCCAGAATGTTGGGCATTCCTTTATTCAAATGTTTATGCAGGTATTAATTCTAAAGCTAAATATAAATAATTGTTATTATTTTAGATCATGCATATCTTTCCATACACTGCTAATATCAGTGGCCGAGAGTTGACTAATATACATTATATTAATTTAAAAACCCCTCAGCCCCTTTTTTCTTTGCCCTCTAAACCCTGCCCTATCAGGATTTGAGAATCACAAATGAAAAATCTGTTGAGATTTTATTTATGTTTATATATTTGTAATAATAGCTTTATTGAAATATAATTCACCTACCATAAAATTTACCCTTTGAAACCCTGCCATGTGGTCTGAATTTGTGTCCTTATTTGAGTAACAGTTTTGAGTGTTTTTTTGTGTGTGTGTGTGGTGTGTTTTTTTTGTTAATTCTCACCTGAGGATATTTCTTTCCATTTAGAGAATGTGGAAGGGAGGGAGTCTGGGGGCAGAAACATCAGTGTGAGAGAAACACATCGATTGGTTGCCTCCTCCATGACCCCCAGGTACATACCCTTGATCAGGAATCAAACCTGAGACCCTCCAGTGCGCAGGCCGACACTCTATCCACTGAGCCACACCAGCCAGGGCTTGAGTAACAGTTCATCCTCTGCCTTCCCCCTGTGCCTTTTCTACTTGTTCTGGTTAATGTCAGACATGATTCTACTGCTTAATTTGAAAAGAAATATGGGGACTATAACTGTTTGGGATTTGATGCTTTGGAGTAAAGTGTATTTTTAGAGAGGAATCTCTTCTTAGGAAATACCTCAAAACAAAGTTCTGATATGTGCTTTAGCATAGATGAACTCATTAAGCTAAGTGAAAGAAGCTAGATGCAAACGAATGTGTATGAGTTCCATTGGAAATGTATGAATATTATATGATTCTGTTTATGTGAAATGTCCAGAAAAGGCAAATCTATAGAGACAGCAAGTAGATTAGTGGTTGCCTGGGGCTAGATGTGGGAAGTAGGAATGACTATAAATAACAAAAGAGATCTTTTTGGAGTAATGTAACTGTTTTAAAATTGAATTGTGGTGATGGTTGCACAACTTTGTAAATTTACTAAAAATTATTGAATTGTACACATAAAGAAAAGAAAATATCTCTGTAATTTCAATTAGATCTTTTAAGACCCCATAGTATCCAGTGAGATTGTTTTCTTCCAAACATATATATATTTTTTATTTTGCTTATTTTCACAAACTAAAGACTTTTGTATGATTTTTTTTCTTTCTGTGTCCTGTGTCACAGCTTTCCATCCTGCTGAAGAACCAAGATGATCTTGATAAAGCAATTGACATTTTGGATAGGAGCTCAAGCATGAAAAGCCTTAGGATATTGCTGCTGTCCCAGGATAGAAACCATGTAAGTAGCCCCAGTGATGGTCTGGCAGTGGAAGACAAAGTTTGCTGTCCTTCAGGAGTTCACCTTGCTCCCTTGACAGAATTCTGTGTTCCTCAGCCACTGCTGAAGAGAGAACATAAGCAGGGCCTCGCCCACTGTGTCATTGGCCAACTAGTCTTCTGCATTTGATTTTACTGCAAAGCCAAATCATCAGTGTTAAAATTGCAACTAAAGATTACTTGGCTTGTGGTGTGAGAGGAAGGAAAACATTTTATAATAAATGATAAATTTTTCTCTCTATATTTATGTTCTTTCAATTAGATTTGGACCCCAACAGGAGAGATTTGGTTAGTGTGGGGTTGCTGATAAGCAAAGGCTGTCAGGGATTCAAGGCTGTCCTGCTTTGTAAATCCAACTCCCACAACTCAGCAACTTGGGACACATGTAGAAAATAAACTTTTCCTTCTGTTCATTGGAAAAAAGGCCATTGGGCTGGAGGGCTCTTGTAACTTACTAGCTGCTGCTTTACCAAATGGCAGGCAATCTACAGGGGCTGTAAGAAGTGAGGAGTTATTCCTTATGCAGTTTCCTCTCCTAAAGGGTCGCTGGGGGGCCTGTGTTCCACAAGAATGCTTGTAAGCTGAGTCTGTCTTCTGATCACTGATTCCTCTACCAGTTTTCTTCAGATGCATGTTCTGATGGTTTCTTGGCATTCTTTCCTTATGCTTGAAGACAGCCAATATTGCTGCATGAGAGCTATAGATGCACTATACCAGGATAGAGTTTAGATGAAAGATGACCTTTTTTTTTTTTTTTTTTTTTAACTGATAGTCAAGTCAGTTTATTAAAAAGGTTGACTTAAGTATCTGCAATGGTGACTTCAACCTCAACTCCTGGCTCAATACTGATGGAAGTAATCTGCTTAACAATCTCAGAAGGGCTGTGCAAGTCAATGAGTCGATTGTAGATCCTCATCTGAAACCGATCCAAAGTTTTAGAACCCTCCCCACAGGGAGTTTTTCTTGTAGTGATTCTCCAAGTCTTGACAGGTATCCAAACCATTCCTTTCACTTTGAGATTCTTTTTCTTTGCGCCTCTGATCAAAAGTCAGCACACACTTTCTCCAAAGACTTTACATTGTGGCTGATTAGAGTAATTCTAATTTTGTGAATCCGCCACCTCTGGTTCCATGGGTGTGTTTCCAGTATCTTTAAAAGCCATGGCTATGGCACAGCTTCCTGACCAACTTGTTCCTGGGCAAGAGCAAACAGTGCTGAGTCAGAAGCAGGAGCATGTGGGACAGAGCTGTGCTGCAGCTGCAACTGTGTCTTCCTCCGACCATTTATTTTTTGAGACACTTATGGTGTTAGACTGCCCTATTAATTAGGAAGAGGCACAGGAGAATGCAGTTAGGAAGCTTTAGAATTAAGAAGATGTTTTCTGATATTACAGAAGTGTACTTGCGTGTGAGGATTAGTCTTCTCTATCCCAAGTTATGTCTTTTTTCTGGATATGTTTTGGGAAGTATTCTGAAGTAAAAATACATACTTTATTATTTCATTTCTCTATTTAAATTACTCACCTGCTCCTTATAGTCCTTCCTTATTGCCTTTCTCATAAGATCTATATTTAGCCTAACATCCAGGGTTTATCACCAACTACCCTTGCTTTTAACTCCCCAGTCTCCTCTTTCCACAGCCTTCAGCATACTCTGCTCTTCAGTTCTTCCTTCTCCCTCTTTGCTGTACCATCGCCATTACCTTTCTTAAAGGATCTAGCGTGATTACCCCTACAATTTGGTTCATATATTGACTGAGGCCATTTTGATTATTCTCTATTTCTTTAGTCATTGGATGTAATCTGCACACCAGTTTATAGGTTCTTTAGTAATGACCCTCTAGTTGTTGCATATTTGTAAGTTTTACCTTAAAAAATTATAAGCTCCTTGAGAGCAGGAGCTGTCTTACTGTTTTGGAACCCCTTCCCTACGCATCCTCTTAAGAACACCACAGTAAATACTTCTTCTTCTTTTTTTTTTTTTTTTTTAATTAATACTTCTTGAATTGTTAGCAAGAATCAAATAGAGGTTGTTTTCAGCAATCCCTTCCTTACAGAAGTCATAAAAGCAAGTTTACTCACCTAATCTCAACTTGGATGAGCTCCTTGAATATTGGTGGTATAGAACAAAAAGAATAAGAATTTGTATAAGAAGTTGTAAACATGGCATCCATTATGCAAGTTGTACAGCTTCAAAAAATTTTTAAAGGTTTTTAATAAATTAATGAATGCTAAAGCTGTAAACTTATTAAATAACCTGTCTGGATGCGTCCACAACTATTATAACTATCATGGTCTTCCATGTAAACATCTCTTGGTGCCACCATTGAAGCAGTTCCAGGGTGCCATTTCTAAGCTCATATTCCCATGAACCTAACTAAAGCAAGCAAACACATACACGCACACACACACACACCCCACTTCCTCCCCCTGCATAGTTGAACACATATGTTCCTTTTGTCTGATGCCACCAAATTTTTATCAAGATTGTGGGTTGACTTTTGTAACCTCTTTTTCTGCTGATCTCTGAGCTTCTAGTCACTACAATCTTTTTGTATGTGGTTCCCTGGTAATGTTGCACGTTGCTTGTGTCAGCCATACACACTGCTATCCACAGAATCCTTCAGTGAGGTTTTCACTGAATGGTCAAACACCACATTATTTGTTATCTTTAGAATGTTCTGCTAGCTATAGCCTTTACACCTGCGGGCTCTCCTTTCGCTCTACTACAGTGCCCATGTATTTTTCCTAGTCCCACCTTCCTCCTTCCTCTCTTTCCCACTTCTTATTCAGGGTTCCCTGAATCCTTGCATCAACCTCATTTTTGTTTGCTACACCATTCTCTTTTATCTCCTTAAATTGGAGTTATCAAATTTGACTTTTACAAGCACTTGTGGAGATTTGAAAAATAACAATCAGACCATCCCAAGTTGGTCTGAAGTGATAAAAGCCCCACAGGCAGTTCTAACAGGTGGCTAGAGTTGAGAACCATTATCTTAAACTGAAGTGTGATTTACCTCCTAAGACCTTGCTGCTCAAAGTATGGACCATGTGGCAGCAAAAACATCACCTGGGAGCTTGTTAGAAATACAGATTCTCAACCACCCCAGACCTGCTGTATCAGAATCTGCATTTTATTTCGCTTCAACTGTGTTCCAACCTGTTGCCACAACTTCAGCCTCTTTTTTTTTTTTACAAATCTATACTTGTGCTTGCTGTTGAAACTACTTTCCTGTCTCATCTTTTAGATTTTAAAATTGAGAGTTTAGATATATGCTCTTTGATACATCTCTATCTAATTCATATTGCCAAGATTTATTTAATTCCCAGTATGTGTGAGGCCCTGTGTCCAAGCAGGCGTCCTTGGGGTGCTCATCATGCAGCTCTTCTGACTGCAGGGCTGTGGCTTTCCCTTGCTCTTCACTGGCCTGCTGCCTCAGTGTGTGGCTTTGACTGTTTTTTCCTTTCTGACTCTCAGCAGAGAGCTGTTGCACATGGAGGCTTCAGCAAGAACATTCACTTCCCCTTGGTTCTGACTTCCCATTAGAGCAAGACAGTTTGTCAAGACAGCCCCCATATGAAAAGTCTGTTGTGGGGAGACAAGAGGAGGCTGTTTGGCAGCTGAACTCACCCCAAGAGCAGGAAGCCTTTTTCCTGGAGAACAGGATATAGTTTGTTTAAGTCGGACATTTTTTTTCTTCTGGGAGGTAAAAGAGAAGCAAGTAGAAACTTTGACCCAAATTGCTCATAAACCCCAAGCTCCCATTTCCACTCTCAGTAGTGCTCTGTATATTTGTAAGCACATCCTGACATCACTTGCTCACCTCCAAGCTTCAGTTTTAAGCTTTCTTAATGCAAGGACCCCCCTTCATTGTGTTGTTTTCTCTCTAGGGCTCACCTAGTGGCTTGACTGGGTCAGTGCAAAAGTGGAGGTTGATGTGGTAAGGCTGCTGGCCCTGTTCTGAGGTCCTTGACCTCTAGCAGAATAAAAATAGCCTTTCCCAAATGAACACAGTTCTGAGATGGTTCATGTGTAAACTCCAGTAATACGAAGCAACTGAGATCTTACCTTAATTTTCAGGGAGTCATTATGGTTGGGGACGAAACAGCATATCGAGCTACTTTTAAAAGTACATATTTATCAACCAGAATTTTTTGGACAGGGAAGTTGCCATCATTCTCTATTCTGACCCCCACTCGGCAGGTGATCTCGCTGCTGAAATAATTTCCTGCTTTTCCTGCTATTCTTCCCGAGCTCTCTGGAGAATTTTATGAGACGGTATTTACAACTCTCTTCTGTTTGCCAGATTAATAGCGGAATGCCTGTTATTTCTCCCTGTCTGGGTCATCACCTATTAAATTGGGGCACTGAGTCTCAGTGCTCATCTGTTGGGGAAGCTGTAAAACTACATCAAGCAAATAGTGATTTTCCAAGACAGATTGAGGAGTGAGATTTGGAGGAGAGCTCATGTATTTAAAGCATGAAAACAGCTGAAAGTATGGGGATTCTAGGGAATGGTGAGGGGGCTTTTCTTGGCCCACCTACTTAAAGATAGCTCAGCCTTTTTCCTCTTATCTTGCAGACCAGTTCCTCTCCCCACTCCGGGGTGTCCAGGCAAGTGCGGATCAAAGCTTCCCAGTCTGCAGGAGATATAAATACCATCTATCAGCCCTCTGAGTCCAGAAGCAGGCACCTCTCTGTCAGTGAGTATTTCATCCCTTTTTTCCTCTCATCTAATTTATGCCCATGGTATTTTTTAAGTTATCAGTTAAAAAACAATCGGCAAACATTAAGTGCTACTCTGAGCAGAATAATCCTCTATGCCTTTATTTGGGAAAAAGGAGTAAAGAAATGACTGGGATGGTGTCCTGACTCTCAGGAAGCTTACACTGTAATAATGTGATGGTGTGATCAAACATCCCTGAAAAAGTGATCTCCTCAAACATCTGCATGAAGACCTTCAGCAGCAGTCTACCTTCATTTCTGACCATTCTTTCCCCAAAGGATTGTGGACTTTTAGAGTTCAGAATCGGGTCTAAGTTCGAGTTTTGACCCCAAACCCCTTGTCTGTGATTCCTGAGGAGTCCCTGTGCTTCAAGGTAGATGCTGACCAGTGAAACTCTTGAAGAGTCAAACTAAGTTGTCTGGGAAGGACAGGAGACTGTTGACATAGTTTATACAATTGGCTACCTAGGAAGAAAGCTATGCAGCTGCTGCCAGGCCTTCCCAGGAAAGGAATCTAAATCAGGTCTGTGCATTATACTAGGCAACCTCATAATGCTCTGGATCACATTTCCCAGAATCTAAGGAAAAAGCCCATTACTTGAATTCTGGAATTTGTATCAAGGGGGAAATCTGTCCTTATGAAAGATTTGTGTTGAACCTGCTGTCCTAACATTGCTGAGACGCCTGCTGCCGCTTTGAAGCCAAGTTCTATCCATTACAGGGAGAATTGCATCAAACTAAACTGCTCTCTGAAGATGTTGAGCTAGGCTGGGGGAAGTCTGAGTATTGGTCCTGTTGCTAAGCTTGTCTGTGAGTGATAAGCCTCCTGAGGGAGTAGCAGGAAGAATGTGTTGCTGAGGCACTGATTTTGCCTCATCGGGTAATTTCTGGAACTCAAACAAGCACTGGTAGTAAGTGTTGCCAGCTGAAAGTCTGTGTATAAGTGTCATATTTTTCTATCATTGATAATTGTTGGCTGTGTTTTCAATAAGCTGGTTGAGGAGAGAGAGAGTCAGTACCTCAGCAAGGAGACTGTCCAGAGCATCTCTGGCCCTGGAGATTGAGAGGCCGAGAGGGCAACATTGTTCATTTGTGGAGTGAGCAGTGAGGATTGACGTGGGACAGTGACTGGGCTTCCTGCTCCTAAGCAAGTGCCTGTGATTTGTATCTGGAAGCAGGAGCTGAATGCTGGGCCATTGTTGTAGGGAGTAATACATGAAATTCCTTGTCTGAGAATGCTGAGGGATAAGATTGCTATGAAGTAGTTCCTGTTTATCTGGAGAGTGGGCAGTGCAGCCTCCCAACACAGATAGATCCTTGGTTCCTTCATTCAGCAAGCATTAACGTACCAGCCATTGGGCTGGGATGAATGCTACAGTGGAGACACATGGAAGGCCAAGGGTGGTGTGGGGACACAGGAAGCAAGCACTAACCAACTCTGCCCAGGACTTTGGAGAACAGCTTCCGCAGAAGAGGGAACATCAGGGCTGACACACAAAGGGAGATTTACTGAGCTTAGAATAGAGACAGGTATTCCAAGCACAGGAAAGAGCACCTGCCAAGCATGATCACAACAGAAGGTAGTGAGATCTAAGAACCCCAGGTGGTTTGGAATGGTAGATGTGACTGGAGCAGTGGGCAGAGCCTGCCAGCCTTTCTATATGAGAAGTGGCAGAAATTATTTTTAACTGGAATGACCTGGGGAATGCATTCTGGAGAGGAGCTGTTTGAGCTGGATCTTTGGAGATTATGGATTTCCATAGGCAGAGATGAGGGGAGAGGGCTTTTCAACTCTGCCTACAGAGCTCTCACTTATCCTTTAGGTTGGCTGATGTATTTGGAGGAGAAATAGAGGTGAGAAAAAATGCCTGGACCACTTTCTGAGGAGCCTTGACTGCACTGGGGCTTGTTTGGTAGAGAGTGGGAAGCCATTGAAAATGTTGACCCTTTATACTCATCTCCATTGTAATGCTTATCACATTATCTTGTTATTCCCTGTCAGACTGCATTTTTACTCATTCCTTTATTCCTTCAAGAAATGACTACCAAAGTATCTGTGTGCCAGAAACATGAGAATCAAAAAAGACAGGGTTCCTTCCCTGTGGCCCTTATAGACCCCTGGGAAGACAGACATTTATTTGTCATTCTGTTACTAATTATAGGCTGTGACTAGAGGTGTATGGTGCTGTGAGCACATATAACAGAAGGATGTGGCCTGATTCAGAGGGGGCCAGGAAAGCCTTACGCTATCACTCAGAGCATGAATGAGAGCTATGCAGGGGAGATACAGGGAAGAGAGTTCCAGGCTTGGAGAGCCTGATGGCAGAGGGAGTATGCCATGTTTGAGAAACAGAAAGAAGTCCTGAGGGCTGGAGAGCTGAGAACAAGAGGAAGGGGAACAGGCCGAGACTGGGGAGGGAGGCAGAGTCTTGGATTGTGTCGAAGATTTTGATCCTTATGTTGAAAGCAGTGGAAATCCATTGTAGGGTTTTTAAGTGAAGAGGAATGGGTGATGTGACATACTCATTTATTTTGAAAACGTTGCTCTCGCTACAGTGTGGAGAACAGATTGGAGTGGGGCAAGAATGGTTCTAAGAGAACCACATTCAGCTAAAGTAGTGGTTCAGGTGAAAAATGACAGAAGCTTGGATTAGGTTAGTGACAGTAGTGGAAAGAGGAAGGAGCAGGTGGATTTGAGACATTTAGAAGGTGAAACTGACAGAACATGGCATTGGCGTGGTTCTCAAAGTGTGGTCTGGGGACTTTGGGGTGGTCCCTGAGGTCCTTTCAGGAGGTCTGCGAGGTCAAAACTGCTTTTATCATAATACTAACAAACACTTTGCCTAAAACTCATTCTCTCCTGAGTTTTCCAGAGGTTACATGCCTGAGGCAGTGTCATNTTTTACTCATTCTCTCCTGAGTTTTCCAGAGGTTACATGCCTGAGGCAGTGTCATTGCTCTGATGGTTAATGGAATATGTGCCTCAGTATTATTGTGTTTTAAAATTTTTCGAGCTTTGCCCTGGCTAGAGTGGATCAGTCGGTCGGGTGTAGTCCCGTGCGCTGAGGGGTTGCTGGTTCGATTCCCGGTCAGGGCATGTGCCCAGGTTGTGGGCTTGATACCCGGTGGGGGGCATGCAGGAGGTAGCCAGTTGATGTTTCACTCTCACTTAGATGTTTCTCTCTCCCCCTCTCCTTTCCTTTCTCTCTAAAAACCAATAAAAAAATATTTTTAAAAAATTCTGAGTCCTAGCCAGTTTTGCTCAGTGGTTAAAGCGTTGGCCTGTGGACTGAAAGGTCCCAGGTTTGATTCTGGCCAAGGGCACATACCTCAGTTGCAGGCTTGATCCCTGGCCCCAGTCTGGGCGTGCTGGGGAGGCAACCAATCTATATATCTCTCTTACATCAATGTCTCTCTCTCTCTCTCTCTCTCCCCCTTCTGCTCTCTCTGAAAAGCAATGGAAAAAATATCCTTGGTGAGGGTAAAAAAAAATTGTTTTAAAAATAAAATATTGAGCCCGGCCGGGTGTGGCTCAGTGGTTGAGTGTCAACCTAGGATCCAGGCAATCGGGGTTCGATTCCTTGTCAGGGCACATGCCCGGGTTGTGGGCTCGATCAGTGACTCTCTCATCATTGATGTTTCTCTCTCATTCTCTCCCTCTCCTTTTCTCTCTCTGAAATCAATAAAGACATATTAAAAAATAATAATAAAAAAATTAAAAAACCATTAAAAAAGTAATAATAAAAAAATATATCAATTGATATAACCCACATAAATAAAAGCTTTTTAGTGTCCTCAATTTAAAAAATATATATATATCTTTATTGGTTTTAGAGAGAGGAAGGGAGAGAGAGAGATAGAAACATCAATAATGAGAGTCGTCATTGATCGGCTGCCCCCTGCACGCCCCCAACGGGGGATCCAGCCCACAACCTGGGCATGTGCCCTGACTAGGAATCAAACTGCTATCTCCTGGATCCTAGGTCAATGCTCAGCCGCTGAGCCACGCCCAACCAGGCAGTATCCTCAATTTTTAAAGTATAAAGGGGTTCTAAGACCAAAAGGTTTAAGAACTACTATGGTATTGGATTGAATTTGCAAGTGTTGAGAGAGCAGGAGATAAGTTACTGCTTTATGGATATGTATAAATGGCACTGCCTTTCAGCCTGACAGGAACTCCAAAAGAGGACCTGGTTTGGGGTTCTGAGAAGGGACAGACTTCATGTTTTAGATAAGTTGAATTGGAGGTGCCTTTGAGACAGCCAAGAGGAGATATAAACATCCATTTGATATGTTAGATACACAGGTCTCTAGCTCATAGGGGAGAAAATCAGGGGTAGGGAAAAAATTGGAAATTGTCAAATTGAAGCCATGGACCCAGAAGAGAGTGCCTAAATAGACTGTAGAATGAGAAGAGGGCCTAGGACTGAGCCTTAAAAACCCAGACCCTCAGTGGCTAATTAGAGGAAGATGAGCCTGTAAAGGTCACAGGAAAGGAGTGACCAGAGAAATAGGAAGGAAAGTAGGAGAGGGCTGGGAGCAGGCTTTACATGGTACCAGCCAGGTTGGGAAGGACAGACCAAGGGTAAAAGACATAAACTTGTCATTTTCATCCACAAATGTCTAAGCACTTGCTATGCTGGTACAGGGTAAGACTTTCTGGAAGTAGAATGAAAGAGGAGGGGAAGAGTCAGGGTCATAGCATGAGGGAGTAGCAGTCCTAGCAGTAGAAATGGGGTCAAATGACAAGCCTTAGCGATTCAACTCCCCACCAATAGAAGGGGGGTTCTTTGCCCTCCTCCCCCACCAACATTAAATACCTGTGAGTATTTAGTGAGAGACTGAACATGCAGATCATTCAGCTCCCTCTGCAACATTTTCAGTGATGGGGAAGTGCAGGGTAGCCCAATCCAATTTTAGACAGCTCTACTTATTTTCAAGTCTTCCTTTTTTAAAA